CTGGCTATATTGGCACGAAGAGGTTGGTAAATTCTCTCCACATACACATTAAATGGGACAATATTGACCAAATGCTGACAATAGAGAAGCTCTGGTTACGGAGAAGCTGGCCTTCGGCCAAGAACGGCAAGTGTCTGTGATCTTCCTATCTGGAGATGCAACGCCCCACACCAGGTCGAAAAGAACAGCTATAGCCAGAGCGGGCTGACTCGATTAGGGACGGGGGTTGGGGGGGGGAGGACTTACAATTTCCTCAGCTGCAACGGGCGAGCTCAGTAGGGAACAAGTCAGAAAACCCATAGTTCCATAAACTCGGAGTTGTGTTCCCAGCTTGCGCAAGCACCAGGCCCGTCAGGAATCTCACAGGGAGACCCTGGAAGTCATTGAGTGCTAGAAGGGCTGAAATAAGCTTTCCATAAACACCGTGCCGTCTAGGGAGCCAAGCACACACGTTATGGAGGTTGGAAAGAGCCCAGCCTGCAGTGAAAACCAAGGCCAACGCTGAATGAGCTCCCAAACCACTGTAGGAGCTGGAGCCGGAGCTGCGGAGGGGAGTCGCCCACGGGACTCAGGACGTCTGAGAACAGCTCCGCTCAAATCATCCCTGACCATGGAGCATGCAGACTGGGAATAATCCCTAGGAAGGCAGGCTGAAAATTTAAAACCTGAGCAAAGACATCAACTGCGGCATATCACAAAAGAGCTAGATCCCACAATGGAAGTCCAGGCAAGTAAAAAAGAACTTAGAAAAATAAACATGATCTAGAGCTATTGTAACATGTTAATTTAAATGTCTAGTTTTTGACCAAAAACTGTAAGGCTACAAATAAACAGGGAAGAGTGAGCCATACCTGGATTAAAAAGTCAATAGAAATTGACTGTGAGGGGGCCTGCTGGTGGCATGGTGGTTCAAGTGCTGGACACTCCTACATGACCGATTATGGTTCGAGTCCCAGCCCTGGTGGCTTGCTTTCCACTTTCTCTCTCTCTCTCTCTTTCTCTGTCTCTCTCTGGTCAAATTTAAAATAAATAAAAGAATAAATATAATAAAACAAGTAATAAAAACAAGTTGACTATGAGTGGGCTTTGATTTGGGGCCTAGCAAAGACTCCACAGCAGCTATTACAGTGCCAGCTGGTGCCATGATGGTTAAAGCATCGGGACTCCACGTGGGGACTCCATGGTTCAAACCCAGACCCAGTGACGTGAGAAACATGCCGAGCGTGTATGCAGCACACCCAAAATTCTAACAGGAAAAATGATGGAGAAGCAATTGCAGCAAGACCGGGGCGCTTTCTCACTTTCCTTCTCTCTCTCACTCTCCCCAGCAAGTACGCACTCCCTCTGGCAAATTTAAAAAGAAAAACAAGGGACCCATGGATGGCGTAATGGTTACATCGCTGGACTCCCACATAGTTGACCTCAGTTCAAGTCCCAGACCCAGTGGCATAAAACTCACACCAGGCGCATGTGCGTGTGTGCCCAAAATTCCGAGAGGAGAATGGAGGAGAGGAGATTGAGTATGGCTGCCATCCCCTCCGGAGTGTGATTTCTCACTTTCTGTCACTCTGTCTCTTTCTGTCTCTCCGGCAAGCACACATACCCTATAGCAAAAATCTCTTTTAAAAAAAAAGCAGTGGGGTCAGCAGGTAGCATGGTGGTTAAAGGCACTGGGTTCCCACATGGCCAGGTGTGGTTCTAGTCCCAGACCTGGGGGTTTGCTTTCTCACTTTTCCTTTCTCTTTCTCTCTCTGTCTCTCTCTGGTAAAATAAAAAAATAATAATAACAAATGGAATAAATAAATAAATATTTTTAAAGCAGCTATTATAAATATTGATATATTCAAAGAACTTAGAAATTGTTAAAATGATAAATCGTATGTTATATATATTTACTATTATGACAATAATAAGGTTGAGGAAAAGAGGTAAAGGAAACTATATCCAAAGAATTAAGAAAAACATGATGGGGAGGTGGCAGGTGGTGTGATAATTAAAGGGTGTGGTAGTTAAGGGCACGGGACTCCCACACGGCCAATCACGGTTTGAGTCCCAGACCTGGTGGCTTGCTTCCTCATCCTCTCTCTCTCTCTCTTTCTCTTTCCTTTTCTTTTTCTTTGATCTCATTACTCCTCCTCAATCTCCATTCTCTGTGTTTCTAGACGGAGCTAAGGGAGCCATAGCCAAACATCCAAATACTATTAGGGTTAACATATTCCTCAATATCCACTGAATCTAGTGCACAAAGTGATAAAAATGGAACGGCAAAGAGATTCCAGGTCACCTCCTTCTACACATTCCTGAATGCTCAGATTGAACTTCAAAAATTAGGAAGAGATGCATCATCCATCTGATGATTAGAAATCACCACAGGGCCATGAGAAATATGGGAAAGCAAGAAAATACCTCTCCTCTAAGGGAAAAGAATAACTCCTCTTCATCCACACACAATTCAATGGAAATCATGGAAATGTCTGATAAAGAATTTAGAACATTCATAATGATGAAGCTAACAGAGATGGAAGAGAAGAGAGACAATGAACTGCAGAAGAGGCAAGAGAAAGGAGCTGACAAGTTCCAGGAGGTGAGGAAATTCTTGTAAGATCTCAAAGAGGAATTACACACTTTAAAAAAGAATCAAATAGACCTGTTAGAGATGAAAGCTACAATACAGGAAGTTAGAATCTCCCATGAAAGGATTAAAAGCAGACTAGATCATACAGAAAAATTAATCTCAGACAAAGAAGAGAAAATTGCTAGTCTAGAAAAATCCACCACAAAGACTGAGAAAATTGTCCCGCCAAATTAGAATAATATACAAAGAAGTACTAGATACCATCAAACATCCAAACATCCATATAGTTGGTATTCCAGAAAGCAAAGAGACTCATAAGGGCATTGATAATCTATTCCATGAAATCTTGGAAGAAAACTTCCCAAACCTAGAGAAGCACTCAAAATTCCAGTCTCAAGAAATACAAAGGACTCCAAATAGAATCAACCCAAGAAGATCTTCTCCAAGACACATTATAGCCAGACAGACACACACACACACACACACACACACACACACACACATGCCACCAGGTACAGGACTCAAGCCATGGTCAGCTATGTGGGAGTCCAGCACTCTAACCACCCCTCCACCTGCTAACCCTGACTTTTTTTTTTTTTTTTTTTTTTTTTTTAAAAAAATTTTAACAAAAAAAAAAAAAAAAAAAAAACTGTATCCGGCAAGATTATCTTTCATATGGGATGGAAAGACAAGAACATTCTCAGATAAACAAACTTGAAAGAATTAACCAACACCAGATCAGATCTTCAAGAAGTTCTGAAGGGAGTGCTATACCAGGAAAATTAAATACAGATACACAGAAATGAGAGTTCAAAAACTAAGAAAATGACCAACTTAATCATAGGGACAAGTCTGTAGTTGAATATTATATCCCAGAATTTAATCGGGAAGATCAAACCACAACAGAAGATAAAGTGCATGAGACTAAACTGGTAAAATAGCATTTTATGACTTTTGACTAAAACATTGCTGATTTTCTTCTAGGCTTTGTTTCCCAGTTTTAAGGATTTTTGTCCGGTTGCGAGCTGTCAATAGGTTCATGTACCTATTATTTGAACAGAATCCTAACCTGCATCCTGGCTTTAAGTTTTAAGCAAAGTTCCTTAGCATATCTTTGACTGATTAAAGTTAAAACTGCTTTTCTTGAAATTACCAACTGAACTTTCTATTGAAAGTAATTAGACTGTATAAGAAATTGTGTGATCAATAAAACATGGGTGAAAAAAGAATGGAAAACAACTGTAGACATCAGAGATAGTGTGGGAGGAGGGTGGGAAAGGGCAGAGAGTCAGAAATAGGGGTAAAATAAATATATGTATACACACATATATATACATATATATATGTATATGAAACTAGAAATGGAAAATTATTGATGATGATAACATGTATGATTAAACCACTGTGCAGTATATTCTGAACGGGAAATCACATTGTATATACTATGGCGATGCTTAGGGAATGAATGTAAATTAATTAATTTAAAAAAGGTTCAGGAAAAAAAAGCGCATGGAAATACGTGTAATGGGAAAGCTATGAATGAATTTCAAAATTTTTTGTACTAAAATAAATTCATACTTTAATTGTAACATAAATAAATAATTTTAAAAATACATATCTGAAAACTTCCCAAATTTAATTAATAGTAATAAAAGCAAAAACAAAACAGGGTGGGCACAGGAGCTGGATCCCTGTTCCAGTGGCCTGAGAAACATGCTGGATACGTGTGTGTGTGTCCAGAATTCTGGCGAGAAGGAGAAGTGGAGGAGAAAGGATTGTGGCATTTTCACGCCCTACTGGGTGGGTACTCTCTCCCTCCCCCTATCCATCACTCTCTGGTGAAGCACACGTGCCCCCAGCCAATAAAAAACAAACAAGCAAATAAAACAGGCAACAACATTAATCTACACATCAAGACGTTCAACAAACCCCAAGTAGGGTAGATGCGAAGCAGCACACACCCACATACATCAGAACTAAACTGCTGCCAAACACCAAGAGAAAATTTTAAAAATAGCAAAACACACACACACGCACACACACGCTTATTACAGATAGTGGAATAATGATATGTTACGATTGACTTCTCATCAGAAATATCGGGGGCCTGAAGGCAGTGAAATTACTTTTTCAAAATGCTGAAAAAAAAAAAATCTGTCAACCAATACTCACATATGCAGTGAAGTTAAACTTTAAAAATGAAGGCAAAACAAACACATTCCCAGATCAACAGAACCACAACATTCATGGCTTGCAGATCGACTGTCTAAGACACACGAAGGAAGTCCTTCAGACTAAACAGAGCGTCTCGACCACAGCATTACTGACATGTAGACCAGATAAGTCTTTGTTGTGGGGAGCTGTCTGCACCATTATAATATATCACTGGCCCATAGCAGTCCCAAGTCATGACAAACACGGCTCCAGACATTGCCGGAGGTCCCCTTGAGAGAAACTTGCACTGGGTGAGAACCACCAGAGGACCACGAAGTGACACCAGGTGGCAATTCAAACCCAGAAGAAGGAATGAAAGCACTGGAAATGGTCATGTGAAGGTAAGTATCAAAGAGTGTATACATATTTTCTTTCTCTTCCTATTATGTTTTCTTTTTAATTTTAAAAATTTATGTTTTTCTTCCATGAGCAAAAAACAGAAAGAGAGGCAGCACCCATAAGAGGGTCCTGACACCATAGTGCACCCTTAGCCCCAGCCAGCCCAGGTCAGGGGCGTGCACGTGCCCAGCATGCTCTGGGAGGTCTCCAGACTCGAACCCGTAATCCTCCACGTAGATCAGTCTCACAGAGGGTCATGCCCCACTGCTGTGCCATTATCTGGCTCCCTCTCCTTCATTTAGTTTTTAACGGTTAATGTTAATTGATGAATTATGTTTAAAGCAACCAACTTCACTTGAGCAGAGCTGGCTTTTATTTGCTTGTTTGTTTAAATGTCTCGCTGGATTTGGTTTGGTAATATTTTCTCTTTTACATTTTGTCAGATGCCACACATGCTTGCAAGAGAGAAAGGAGGAAAGTGAGAAAGCCCTCTCCCTGGGGAAGGGTCTCGCTACAATCCCTCCTCCGTTTCTCCTCTTCAGATTTTGACACACACACACGCACCCGCACCTAGAGTGTTTCTCAAGCTGCCAGGTCCAGGTGTTGAACCATGCAGTTGGTCATGTGGGATCCAGACACCTTAATCACTGCTCCATGGGCTGGCTAATATTTTCTGCGGAATCTGACATCCGGGGAGCCAGCCGGCATCACCAGAAACATGCTGGGAGCTTGTGTGTGCATGCCTGAAATCCTGAGAGGAGAAACAGAGGAGATGGCAGCACGGCCGTCACCCCTGGGAAATGTCTTCTTACTTTCTCTCCCCCCCCCCACCCCGTATGTCTCTTTCCTGTGCCCACTCCCTCTAGCAAAAATTTCTTAAAAAAAAGAATTTTTACACCTAGGTACCTAGGTTCAGGAGTGAAATTGGCCTATAATTTTCATTTTTTTTAAACTATCCTTTTAATAAGTAAGTTACTGTTATAAAAGTATGTTTGAGGGGCCGGCAGATGGGAAGGTGGTTAGAGCACTGAACTCCCACATGGTCGACCACAGTTCGAGTCCCAGACCTGGTGGCTTGCTTTCTTACGTTCCCTCTCTCTCTCTCTCTGTCTGTATGTCCTATTGCAAATTTAAAATAATAATAATATTATTAAATAAAATTAAATAATTGTTTAATGTTTGGTTTTAGTGTTGTTATCTTCTTTTTGCCTTTTTATATATTTTTATATTTTTTCATATATATTTGTTTTTATATATTTTTATATATACATATTTCATCTATATAAGTAGATGAAAATGGTCAAAGGTCAAAGAAAGCTCCAGAATTACATTTGTAGCACTAGATAAAAATCACTTTCAGTCTTTGATAGTCAAGTGGAAAAACAGACAAAACATTCTAACCGTCTGATTCAAAGGTCACATAAATTTCTACCTGTATCTAAAGTAGATAAAAAGATCATGACAGCCAGCCTCCAAGGTGACCCTCACACGTATGCCCTCTGCATTGCCTCCCAGGTTGCTTTGTGTCACCACCAAGGTGAGGTTAGAAACAACATCGCGTGTCTCTTTTGCTTTCTCTTGGACCCCTCGCTCTGAAAGAAGCCAGTGGTTATGTTGGCAAGAGGCCCACGTGGCTCAGAAGCAAGGCCTCCTGCCAGCAGCCACGCAAGGAGCCACCTAGAAGGCAGATCCTCCAGCCCAAGCGAGTCCCCTACATTTGACAACCCCCCACCCCCAGACCCAGAGACCAAACTACCCAGCTATGCTGCTCCTGAAACCGGGAGGGAAGAAATGTCTGCGGGTTTAAGGCCCTGGGTGTTGGGGTAATGTGTTACGCAGCTGCAGATTTCCAACATCGGAGAAACAGGTCCATGGCTAAATACCCTTCAGCTTCCAGAGGGGCTCCTTCCATCTGCCTTCTTTCCTGTCTGATGTACGTGAAGTCCTACAAGGACTATCTATATCCAGACCCAAACTGGAAATTCGGAGGCAGAGCGTGAAATATGGGCACACGGGGCCTCATGGCAACCCGCAACCTCTGGCTCTAATGTGTGGTGGCAGTTATCTGGATTTTTTTCCTCATTGAATATATTTTGTAAAAGATATGTGGCTTGACTTCATGTTACTACCGATATAGCCGACATATTTTGAATATATAAAGTCCCCGATCTCTTTCATTCTTGCCGCATTCAGGGTTCTCACGCAGTGACACACCTAGAGATTGTTGTTTTTACCTTAGTTGACGATGTCCAAGTGTCATGGGCCGTTTTGTTTTGTTTTTTTCTTTGGAGAGGTTTTTGCCATAGGGCACGTGCGCTCGCCAGACAGAGACGGAGAGACAGAAAGCGAGAAATCACCCCCCAGGGGGATGGCCACGCCACAATCCCTTCTCCTCCATTCTCCTCTTGGGATCTTGGGTACGCACGCACACACGCCCGGCGTGAGTTTAAGCCACCGGGTCCGGGACACGAACCATGGTCTACTACGTGGGAGTCCAGCGACATAGCCGTTACGCTAACTGCTGGTCCCCTAACCACAATTTTTTAAAATAACAAAAAACACCAATTAATAGTCAAGCTTAAACAAATCCTAAGACACTGAATGTTTGAAAAATTTAAATTGGTCTCCCAAATATTGAGCAGTTAAAAAAAAATCAAATTCATTGCAGATTACTTAGAAAATATTGGTGTTACTGGCCAAACTAAGTCCCATTGCTTCTTCTTATTATTTTTTAGAGAGGTTTTTGGTATAGGGCGTGTGTGCTTGCCAGAAAGACAGAGAAAGACAGAAAGTGAGAAATCATTCCCCAGAGGGTATGGCCATACCGCAATCCCTTCTCCTCCATTCTCCTCTCGGGATTTTGGGCACACACACATATGCGCCTGGAGTGGGTTTTAAGCCATTGGGTTCAGGACTCGAACTGCGGTCAACTACATGGGAGTCAAGCGACGTAGAACCCAGTCGACTATGCGGGAGTCCAGCAACATTACCATTACACCAAGAAGTCCCCTGCTACTTCTTCTTGCAGCCACTGGAACAAGAGGCAAGGCTGGAGACGGGAGTTATTCTGTAACCAGTTACGGGGAGACGGGGCACAGCGAGGAAGCACCATCAGACTGTCTCGAAGAGCGCAACTTGTTCTCCTTATTTGTAAGTACGAGATACAAGCAGGTGCACATCACCCTCCACAGTCAGTCCGTTGCTTTTCCCTGAGTAATTACCCTGTTCCTTCAAACACCCACTCCTGGTTTCTCATCTGACCATCCCTCAAACAGACCTCCCCGACTCAGCACTTGAGTAGACTGTTCTCCCTGGAGGCCCTTCTTAATTTCGAAATGACCGAGATCTGCTCAATCTTAAACTAGCCTGCTCCAGTGGGATACAAAGTTGCATTCAGAAAGCACGAAAGACAAAGCACTAGGCATACTTACATGCCTCAGTAGCCCACACACTGTAGGAGTGTAGGAGACCATCAGGGAGACTCGGGCTGTCTCCATCTCGAATCCCGCTTCTGGATGCCGTTCTCGGCCGCCGCACCTTCTGCCAGCCCCGGCATCGCCAGTGCAGTCATGAGACAGTCTCTCTTTCCCACCCCGCTGCAGACTCCCGGAAAGAGCAGTCCCGTCCTGCAGGACATCAGTTCTGGTACCCGGCGGAGTGCCTGGCACAGGGAAGGTCTGGACAGCAGCAGCGAATTCTCAAGTGCACAAACAGGGAACTGCTCCAGTGAAGGCAGAAGAACGAAAATAACACACGCGTCCAGGAAGCCGCAAGGAGACGGCCGGACTGTAGTACCGTGCAGGCGGGCGCAAGACACCTGCAGGCTGCGTCCACCCTGGAGATAAGGCCGGCAGATGAGTGCTGAGCTCCGAAGGCAGCGCGAGGGCCGAGAGCTAGGCCGGCCGTCCTCTGGGGCAGCTGCGCTTAGATCGACCTCCGTGACCCTGCGGAGCAGCCCAGACACCATCTGCGGGCGAGTGAGGACAGGGTGGCAAACACCCGCCTCAGCATTAAAGAGGAAGCTATTAAAGCTGCATATTTTTCAAAGAGAGAGAAGGAGTACAAAGGAGAATGATCAGAAACCCCCTAAATTGCCAGTGTGGGTTACAGTAATTGCTAAATTACAACACTACTTTATTAGGCGCACACCCCCCCTCAGCTTCCACAGTTTTCAAGGGCCGCCTTGAGCTGACAAAAGCCAGAAAGCGCTGAGGGAAGTCTGGGGAGCTGAGCAGGTTTGCTCCTGGGGGCCCTCCTGCTGGGCGAGGCCGGAGGTTGCAGCCAGGACTGCTGAAGTTTCTGTTTTCTGATGGTGCATCCCTCTGAGGGCGCTGCAGCAGGTGCTGGGCTGGCAGTGGGACGGACTGCAGGACGGACTCGGGAGAAGCAGCGGCCTGCGGCCCACCCACGGCAGTCCCGAGAAGGTCTTCAGGGTTTTTTGTTTTTGGAGAGGTTTTTGCTATAGGGCATGTGTGCTCGCCAGACAGACAGAGAGAGACAGAAAGCGAGAAATCACCCCCCGGGGGGATGGTCACGCCGCAATCCCTTCTCCTCCATTCTCCTCTCGGGATCTTGGGCACGCACGCGCACGCACCTGGCATGAGTTTAAGTCACCGGGTCCAGGACTCAAACCACGGTTGGCTACATGTGAGTTCAGCGACATAGCCATTACGCCAACTGCTGGCCCCCTTTGGGGGTCTTGAAGTGACTGGGTTCAGGAAAGAAGGCCCTTCCTCAGGACGGCAGCCTCATGGCTTCCATCCCCAGTGACACGCCTTCTTCTGAGAGTCACCAGCCTGCACTGTACCAACGTCCTGTTCCATAAGGTCACCACACACGCCAGGCTCACATCTGCAATGCCCCCGACACGCCTGCTGCCCGCGGGCCTATGTTACCCACCACTTCATACACGCATTGAGGTTTTCATCCTCCCCTCTCCTCCAAGCTCTTAAGAGAAAGACTTGAGCCCGACCTCAGAACATTTGAAGTCAGTGGTCAATCTACTACTTCATTAAAGTCCAGACTTAACTGCATATTAGATTGACTCAGCCCCTCACACTAATGACCTGATAGAAGGGTCAAGGGCCAGTAGGTGGCGTGGTGGTTAAGGTGCTAGACTCCCACATAGCTGACGGCGGTTCAAGTCCTGGGCCTGGTAGCTTTCTTTCTCACTTCCCCCAACACTCCCCCACCCTGTGAGCACACATGCCCTATAGCAAACTTAAAAAATAATAATAAATAAAATAAAATAAATGTTTAAAGGGGCATGTTCTTTGCAATTGAATACAGCCTAAGATCTTGTAGAAAATTAAGGTCGAGGGGAAGAATGTGCAATACCTAAAAGAAACCAGCCTTCATGAAACTGAAATATAGATAAGAAAAACACAGAGATTGGAGCTGCGATTCTCTGCCCCCAACCCCATGTCTCCTTGCAGGGTTGACTCATGAAGCCACGCCTCAGGAGGTTGCAGAGGGCCGTCGATGCGTCTCGATGGGCAGGCCTGGCTTTCATTACTGGGTTTTGCAATGCTGGGCTTCGTGATGACGGCTGGCAGGTTGAGGGGGTCCTCTCACAACCATCACGGTCCACTTGCCATTCTGGCATCGCTCCACCTGCTCCAAGTGCAGACAAGACCCCGGTGGGCTATTTCCCCCGTGTTATGTGCTGGGGGAGCTGCGTGATTACTGGAGTCTCACACATGCACATGCATGTACACATGAGGACATATTCTACCCACTGTGAGCCCCACCCGGCCCAGCAGACCTCACGTAGGACACCTATGCTCCAGCCCACGACCTCCCAGAGCCGTGCGGGGTGGGCCGAACAGCTCAGGGCACAGAGTGGCAGGAGGAGGAGACAGGAGCCCAGGCTTCCAGTCCCCGGTGCCAAGGACCTCAAGACTCCCTGATCTCACTTCCCTCTCTATGCAGGGGAGCAGCAACCTGATGTGATCTTCGGGGGACCACGTGGGTGAGAGGCTGAATGTCACACAGGACAGGCTCTTTCTCTTCCACTCCCTCGGGGCTATCATACAGGGACTGAAGACCAGGCGAGGCCCCGAGGAAGAGGAGCAGAGAGGGGCAAGGGCTCAGGCCGGAGGGAGGGTGCTTCCTGCAGGGGGGCCCACTCACCCCACTCCTGCTGGGGACCCCACTCACCCTACTCCTGCAGGGGGCCCCACTCACCCTACTCCTACAGGGGACCCCCTCTCACCCCACTCCTGCAGGGGGCCCCACTCGGGGACCCAACTCCTGCAGGGGACCCCCACTTGGAGGGAGTCCCCCAGATTGAGAATGCCAATCATGAGGTCCCGCTGAGCCACTGGGGCCCTGGTGTGGACCTGGTTGCACACCCATGTTTGAAACCAAGTCTTTGCAGAGGGAATTGGTGGGTGAAGCTGAGCACGTTCTGAGTTAGCCCTGAGGCCAATGACCGGTGTCCTTGTAAGAGGCAGGGGCACGCAGAGGAGGTCACATGACCGCAGAGGCAGCAATCCAGGAAGGATCACCAGGAGCCACCAGAAGCTCAGGTGAGGCCAGGAAGGACTATGCCCTAGAGCCTCAGGTGAGGGCACCGAGGGGCCAGGCAGCTGAGCGCTGGGCCCCCTCCCCTCCCCTCCCAGGCGGCTCAGTTCTCTTGTCTTTCAGATTTTTTTTAATTTAATGATCTCATGAGAGAAACAGAGCAAAAGAAAAAAGAAAGAGAAAAATAAGCACCCTCGACAGGATCTCACTGTGTCTGCTAGGATCAAGGCATGCGTGTGCATGCGTGCTGTGAGTGGGTCAACCTGGGAGCCGAACCTCAGTTCTCCACACGGCTCCCAGCACTGCAGGGCACTGAACTACCACTGCCTCCAAGGCTGGGCCTCCGCTGTGCTTTTCTCACTGGGCGTGGGCAGGATCTCATTAAAAAACCTACCACATGTGCAGGCGTGCACACACTTTCACACGCACACACACATGCACGCACTTTTACACACAGGTGCACACTTTCATGGCACACAGACTTTCATGCACACACAGGCACACACTTTCACACACACAGACTTTCATGCACACACAGGCACACACTTTCACACACACGTGTTCACGCACATACACACGTGCACACTTCCATACACGTTGCTGCTTTAATCACCTGACATACCTTCCACCAGCTCAGCCCCGGGCGGCCTCTGTTCTGCCAGCCCTTCTCGCCCCTCTTACCAGAATGCACACTCCCACCTTGAACTCGGGTTTCCGGGTAAGACACAGGACGCCCAATAAGCTGGACTTCGGGGCATCGAACCCTGCTCTAATGCAGGATGTGCCGTCTGACGACGGGACTGCGTGAAGAGCTGTCGTGAGGCGATTTGTCCCTGCGGGAACGGACAGCATGCTTAGACAGCCCTGGCCGCTCCAGCCTGCAGCTCGTGTGGCCATCTGTGGCACCTCGGCGTGCCCACCCAGACTGGAACATCATTAGGCAGCTCCTGACTGCACACCCAGGCCGCACCTGGGACATACTGTACTTACACTAAAAATCGCCTTCTCTGAGACTCCGATTTAACTCTGCACCTGGCGGGTCTACGTGCTCGACCTGTCGTCCCCACGGATGACCACGCCTTGACCCTCCTAGTCCTCGGACCTTTGTGTGCAGAACACGGAGGGTGGCAGGCAGGACTGCCCAGGGTGCTCAGGTCCCCAGGCCAGAGAGCAGAGACTGAGATAGGAAAGGGGAAAACCAGGGTTTTACTCCTTATGCTTTACTGAAGCCTCCAGGAGAAGCAGGGGGCAAGCAGAGAGAGAGCTGGCTCCCGGGCTCGGCAGCCCACCCGGAACCTGCAAGGACCCAGTCTCCCTGAGACTCTCCAAGGAGTGACCCGGGTAAGGGACATGTCAATCAACAACTGTCCCACGTGCCGCAGGGCCAGCATCCCATACACAGCTGGTTCTGCTTGTCGGGGCCCCTCCTTGGGGCAGCACGAACATCTGGAAAGCATTCTGCTCCAGTGCAGGAAACCCGCCTCTCCTCCCCTTCAGAGTGTGAGGGGCAGTGGGGGATGGGGTGATCGCTGGGCTCCCTGCTGGGGCTGTGTGGCCAGGGGTCTTCATGGGCGCAGGGTGCCTTCGAACCCCTCAGCTATGCCTGACCTCCTCTCCCTCCCTGGAGCACCCCAAGGATCCCTGAAGCCAGTTCCAGGAAGTGCAAAGCAATGCACAGGGGCCGTCTCTTCCAAGTTAGGGCAACTGTGCCCCAGGACAGGGTCTGGACAAGGTGGGACTGTTGCGTGTGTGTGTGTGTGTGTGTGTGTGTGTGTGTAGGCATTTTCCACGTTGGCTGGGCTGCTCTCTCTCTCTCTCTGTCTATATATATCTTTTTGCCACAGGGGGTGTGTGTTCACCAGAGAGACTGGCTGAGAGGGGAACTGAGAAATCACCTCTTAGGGAAATGGCCATGCTGCCAGCCGTTCTCTTCCATTGTCCTCCTGGGATTTGGGGCATGCACGCACACATGGCATGATCTTCAAGCTGTCAGGTCTGAGACTTGAACTGCAGTCGGCCATGCAGGAGTCCAGTGTCTTAACTACCATGCCACTCGCTGCCCCTGCTCTGTAATATTTTTCATTTTGTTTTAGTTGCCAGGGGACATGCCAGAGACAGGAGACGGGGAGGAAGCATCCCAGTGGGGCACGGTCGTAGTGCCGCCCCTTTTCCTCTGTGTTCATCCCGCTGGGATTTGGGGCATTCACACCCATGCACCTGGTGTGTTTTCAAGCCACTGGGACCAAGATTCATACCACAGTTGGCCACATGGGTCTGGCTCTCCCAACCACTAGGCGAGGGGCTGGCCTTGCACACTGCTGTTTTGATGACCAAAGCCTACTGTTTAAGAATGAACAGGGACCAGCAGTTAGTGTAATGGCTATGTTGTTGGACTCCCATGTAGTCTACTGCAGTTTGAGTCCTGGACCCAGTGGCTTAAAACTCATGCCGGGCGCGTGAGCATGCGTGTGTGCCCAAGAGCCCGGGAGGAGAATGGAGAAGGGATTGTGGTGTGGCCATCCCCCCTGGGGGGTGATTTCTCGCTTTCTGTCTCTCTCTGTCTGTCTGGCGAGCGCACGCGTCCTATAGCAAAAAACCTCTCCAAAAGAAAAAAGAACGGACAGGGGCCATCCGTAAAGACCCAAAAGGAGACCCCGAGCAGGGCCTTCTCCGCGGTTTCTCCAAGGTTCCAATCTGGCTTCCTCTCCCATCTTCCCCAGCCCCTGAGCTCGAGGGTTCAGGACTCACGCTGGCTGGGTCTAGAGAAGCCCAGACCTGTTCACTTGACTTTCCTGCTTTCAAACTAGGTGGAAGGAGGTGAGAATACTGGACTTCCAGAGCCCAGGGGCACCCCGCTACCCCTGCAGCTGCTGAGCCCACAGGTGCGGCCTTCTCAGGGCCACACAGGATCTTCCTGAGTCTCCTTGGTGACAGCCAGGCCTGGACCATGAGTGTGAGGCCCAGGGCTGTTCAGGACTGTCCTGATTTGGCACCCGACCCCACGTCCTTGGAAACTTCTCATCTCCAGGTTGACCGGGCAGCGGGTCACCGGGTCTCACAGCAGGGCACTAGCTAGCTTGGGTGGGAGACCCCCACCACCACGGCTGGGACAAGAGGTACAGGCCGGCCTGGGCAGAAAGGTGGTCGGTCTGGTAGTGACATGGCAGCAGCCTAGGGGTCAGGGAGCTGGTGGTGTGTGGACCTGGGGGCCAGGCTCCGAAAGGGCGTTGGATCCTGGAGAGGCGTGGGCTGAGAGCAGGTGCGGACAGGCTTCCTGGGCGTGAGGGTGAATAGCAGGGCCAGGAACACGGGCATTCCAGCCTGGAGGCGGCAGAGGGAGGGGCCGCTAAGAGCTAGATGGGGACACGGCAGAGCCCAGAGCCAGGAGGGCCTCAGAAATGGCGGGCGATGGCCACACCACAGTCCCGTCTCATTCTCCTCTCAAGATTCCGGGCATACATACACGCGCCCGGCGTGTTCTTCAGCCCTCTAGGTCCAGGGCTCTTAACCACGCGGTCGGCCGTGCAGGGTCCAGCTGCCTCGACAGTCGCTTCACCGCTGCCCGACGTCCCCCGTGACGAACGAACGTGAGATTTGTCCTTTGCTCATCTCCATAACGGGCTGCTACGAAGTCCCTGCACACCACCCCGTCCCCGCCGAGTCGATCAAGCCAGCACTCAGATGCCCTCACCCCTAGCACGTCCTGCTGAGCAACGTTCTGGGTCACGCCTTCCCGGAGGCTTTCACTTTGGTGGTTTCATTCTCGGTTTGGATTCCGATCCAGCTGACTGGCCTTTGCTCGCCTGCCCTCTCGTCCACCTGCACCTGCGCCCCAGTGGCCCGAAGGCCAAGAGGAAACGCGCCCTCCAGGGGCAGAGAGATCATTCTTACTCCAGAGCCTTCCGGGTTCGCATTTGAAACATTTATTTCAGGAAATAACATTTTCAACGCTTTGTTATTTATACAAAAGAGACCAATTTCTCGGGAGGCACATAGCGGAGGATACTGCGGAACAGAGCCGGATAAAAGTGACAATCTCGAGACCCGGCTAGAGGGAGAAAGCCAAGTGCCACCCCCACCCCGCCCCAGGCTGGGGAAGGTGGCCTACCCAGGTCCTGGGCCCAGAGACGGACATTTCCTGCAAAATCTTGGTTTTGGCAAAAACACGGCAGGTCGGCAAGTAATCTGTTCCGCTGAGGGATCTGCTGAGGGTCCTCCTTTGCTCGGTGGGGAGGGAGGAAGGAAGACCCCCAATGTAATGACGCACACACACGCACCCCGAGTCTGCTCGCCATCACTCTCTCCGCTTTGGCTGCAGGCCGGGCTCTGCACAGCGCACTTGTGTCCTGGCTCGTCAGGCTGACGCCCCAGGTGTGCGCTGGGGGCGGGAGGGAAGGGAGCACGTTTGGTCAGCGTGCAGGGCGTGGGCAGTCCCAGCAGTCTCCTTGTGGGGCAGAGGATGTGGGGTGAGCAGGCTATGAGCGCTTGCTCTGCAGCCCACCGTGGACTGTGCACCCCTGACCCTCACCCCTCTTTCTTCGGGGTTTATAATGGGCTCTGGGGTGCAAGGGCCCAGGAACACACTGGACATCTAGCAGGCGAGTGTGCCCAGTCTCTCCAGGTCGCGGGGCTGGCGAGGCCTGGGCCTGGAGGGTTGAGGATGGGCGGCCGCCAGGCACTCGTGTGAGCTGAGCACCCGGGGCAGACCCAGGACGAGGCAGACACAGGTTCACCGCTCCAGGCACGCGGGCGGGTGAGCACCAGGGCCGTGGCCAGACGCCCCGCCCCACCCTTTCTTCCAGCACCTCCCTCCCTGCCTCAGCTCCACAGCTTCCCTGCTGGGACCTTCCCAAGATCGGGGCAGGCAAGGCTCACCTTTCTTTCCTCCCTTTTTACCCTCAATCGGATCCCACGGATCAGGGCATCTCCAGCCCCACGGGAGGTGGTGACCGGGGGGTGATGGGGAGATGAACACACACCTCCCTCTCCCCGTCACGCTCCTGGCCCGCGGGCCAGCTAGAGAGTCCATTGGCTCATGTGGACGGCTGACATAAAGGCACTTTCTGCTCCAGGACGGCTTAGGCCAGCAGGTGCCCTGAGGGCCTGGTTGGGTCTAAGCAACTGGCAACTGAGGTTCCTGGGATTCTCTAGTATCTTCTGAAAGTGGGGTGGGGGTGCTCTCTGAGTGATCGCCCAGCCATGTGGGCAGTGGGAGGGGCTCCAGCCTACTGAGTCGCTCCATCCTCCCCTGGGCACAGCCCTAGACACTCCAGGAGCTTGGCAGAGGGGACAGAGGGGAGCATGCAGCCCTACCGACACCTCTGCGTGCGCAGGGCCTGCTCTGAGAAAGCAACCTGGATGGGGCGGGAGGGTCAGACGGACAGGTGGCTCTTCTGGACCCTCCCAGGACTGGTCTGGGATGAGATTCCTGTCCTGCCCTCCTGGTTCTAGCCCAGCCTCTCCCAGACCTGGCAGAGGCAGGAGCCTGGCCTGCCACAGGCCAGCCCGCCGGCCTGCATCAGCGGGCTGAGAACACACGGGGCTGCACCTCCTGTGACTTGGCAGCGTGTCAACGGGGCTCGACGACTGGGGAGATTTATATAAAATAAAACGGGGCAGGTGGGTGGGCAAGGGGGGCGGAAAACACAGGGTGGGGCTGGGGCGGGAGGCGTCTACATCTCCTGGGCTTCCGGCTCCTTCTCCACCATGCCGTTGGACATAGCGCTATTGCCCTCGTTGAGGCGCTTCACACGGTAGGCCTCGAAGTGGATGGTGCTGGTGATGTCCTTGATGTTCTGCATGTGCGTCCTGGGGGCAGGGGCCGGGGAAGGGGTGGAGAGGGTCAGCCCATGGCCAACAGGACACGCCCACTAAGGGACACGCCCACTACTAAACAGGACACACCCACTGCTAAGGGACACGCCCACTATTCGCAGGGCACTGTCACCACCAGGGTCTGCTACTGGCCCATGGGGCCTCCCCACTGTGACCTCAACACTGTCCCTCCTCAGGGCCCTCGTGAGGCCAGGCCTGGGCCCACACAGGCAGGGGTTCTGCCTGGTAACCCAACTCTCTCAGGGATCCCTTCCTTTCTGAGCCGACCCTGAGGCTAGTTAGAGAGGGAAGCACGCTCACCTGATGAGGAGGTCCCGCAGGTAGGCGAACTCACAGTGTGTGGTGTTTTCAACTGCAGAGGGGAAGCGGGCAGTCAGGCCGGAAGCCCCTCCCCAGGCCCGGCTCTCCCTTCCCAGCATGCCCAGCGATACCAATGCCCTGCGCGTCACCAGCTCCCAGTACAGGGTCCTGGGGTGGCAGGACGGGCTCAGCGCCCCTCTCTGGAAGGTTCCCATCCATGTATTAGGCCATGGGGGGAAGAGGTGCCCAGGCCAAGACAACAGGCAGGTGGCAGGGGCTCTGCTCCTGGGGTGGAGGGAGTGACTAGGGAGTCCCAGGAGGAGGCCTCAGCAGAGACCTGAAAACAGGTTGGGGTGGGGCAGATGCTGGAAGTGGGGCAAAGAGGGAATCAAAGCTGGGGTTTAAGTAAAATCTGGGGCCGACAGGGTGTCACCCCACACAGGCACTGACAGCACACGCACAGGGGCCACGGGACCCGCACACAGAGACCACGACCTTGAACATGAGAACCCACAGAGCTGTCGCTGTGTTGCACAGGGACACGTCCTGACACAGCACACACCCGAGCCCAAGGGCACGAAGGCCCGCGCTCAGGACGGCGGGCACTTGTGGCCTGACCACGTGGGTAAGGGCTGGGGCTTCAGCTGGCGGTGTCCTCAGGGTTCCCTTTACTGCCACGCTGCCTGAGGTAGAGACTCCACGGCCTGGAGCGTGGGACCATCAGAGAACTGAAGCTCAGGGGCGGGGGGCCTCCCGGTGGGCGCACACGGCGAGTGGACAGGCCGCGGCTACTCCCCGCCAGGCGCTCATCCTCCATCCGCCTCCTGCAGTCTTACTAGCGGGGCTTTGAGAGCACAGGAAACGTGCCATCCAGGCGGTGCTCTCAGGAGCCACGTGGCCTTTTTTAGCACTAAAGGGCCTGATTTCCGCTGGCCAGGCCAGAGGCAGGGCCGAGCCGGCCAAGCGCCTGCACCCTGCCCAGCCCTGGGTGCTCTTGGTTCTATCAAATTGCCTCTTGCCTGGGCCCGGCCTCCCCCAGGCCCTCCACTCCTGCGGGGCTGTGCCCATACCAGAACCTTTTGCCGAGGAACTTTGCAGCATTTTTTTTTTTAAGAGATATTTTTTCCTTGTTATATGGCATGTGCTCGCTGGGAAGAAAGCAAGCGAGAAATCCCTCTCATCCCCCGGGGGTGGTCACGCCGCAATCCCTTCTCCATTCTCTCCGGCTTTTGGGCGTGCACACTCACATGCCCAGCATGAGTTTCAAGCCACCAGGTCTGGGACTCGAACCACAATCAGCCACATGGGCGTCTAGCACCTCAACCACTGTGGCACCTGCTGGCCCCTCTCCTCTGCCGCGGCGAGACAGAAGAGCTGGCAGCAGGCGGTGCTCACGGTGGCGTGTGAGGGAGTTTCTGCCTCCCGCCTTGGGAAATGATTCTGTTTCTCTGACCTGCAGCTCCTCCACTGGTAAAATGAGGGTGCTGATGTCGCCACCTCTCAGGGGATTAAAGGAGTCGATATGTGACTGGCGACACCCCTGCTTCATCCTGACAGCACTTCGGGCGGCTCCCAGGAAGACGCACACAGGTACCAGTAGCCACGTTTGAGGGGAGCGCCGAGGCTCGACTCACGGGGTCCCTGATATGAACCTGCCAGGGTTCTGGGGAGCCCCTGAGGTCCTCCTGAAAGGCTTCCAGGGCCCAGCCATGGTGGCGCAGGTGAAGTTCACTCTCAGGGTGACCTGGCAGGGCCACAACAGCGAGAATCCAGACTCATTCATTTCCTGACCATTACTGCTACTGGCCACCTGCCATGCTAAAGATGGCCACCAGGGGGCAGCAGAGGTGAGCCAATTTGGGGGCTGTCCCCCCACCCAAATTGGCTTTGAATTTCTCCACCCCCTCAAACGTGCCTTTCATAGGAGGTTCCTGAGCAGCAAGATTTCTTTGGAAAAAGAAGAAATGGAAGAGGATGGGCCAAGGGCCAAGACAGATCCCAAGGAAAAGACTGACCCAGACCTTCTGGGTGGGGCAGCCCCTGTGCACAGCCCCCACCAGCTGCTGACTGAGAGCCACAGAGCAGCGCCTGGAGAACCCCAGCAGCACCCAGCGGGAGACCAGCTGGGGGACCAGAAGGTGCTTCAGAGGGAACCCCAGGAAAGGTGCACCCACTGCCCCAAGCCCTCCTCAGGCATGAGCCCCATGGACTCCAGGGCTGCCTCCCACTGTGGGCCCCAGGGAGGTCTCCCGCCTCGCCGCAGTGGTGACAGGGCACGTGTGATGGGCTCCTAGGGTGAGAGACGCTCCCTGCGAGGTGAGCAGGCACCGCGGGGGCTCGCTGCCTGGCAGTGGCCGAGACAGTCCGTTTCTTGGTGTGAGTGCCCCCAGCCCGCTCCGCCCCCAGGACATTCATTTTACTAAAATCTAAGTGTGAGGCCCACACTACGGGTGGGAAAGACCCTGGGATCTGCCCAGACTCAGGGCCACGACTTGCTGCTTCCTTCCCTACTGGCCTTCCAGCCAAGGTGCACTCAGGAACAGAAGCCTTTCCTCCTCGCCTAACTCTCCCCTCTGTTTGTCTAGAGAGGAAGGAAGAGAAGTGCCCTTGCCCGGCCCCGGGGGTCTCACCAAGCAGACAGGTCCAGGTGCCAGCCCGAGGCCCCTGCACTATGCCCTGACCGGAAAGTCTCTGCACATGGAACTGGCTAGGGCCTGGGGCTGCTGCACTGGGGCGCACCCAAGAGGGGAGGCATGCACCTGCATGAAGGCAGGCCGCAAGCAGGGGAGAGGGAAACGAGGGTGTCTGCGGGGACGGAGGATGAGGACTACTGCCTGCAGGGGCCAGGAGAAAGGCCAGCCGAGGGACCTCGGGGCCAGAGGCTGTGGCACTTCTGGCCCCAGAGCTGAGAGTCGATTTGGGCCAGCAGGTGGCAGCCACGGAGCACTGGCTGTGGGTCTGGGGGTTCTGCAGGGGAGGTCTGCGAGTTCTGAGTCTCCGAACCAATGGCGTCACAGCCCAGCTCCTTTCCAGGTCTGGAGAGGTCGGTCCACACAGGGGCCTGTGAGGCAGCCCCCATCCCCAGAAAGGTCACCTGCCCTCTCTGTCTTCTCATTGGTCAGGCGGGAACCCAGAGACCCCTCCCCTCGCCAGCTGGAGAGGTTCTGAGCATAGCAGCCGCGCCGGGATCCCACAGAAGAGGCCTTGTCCCCGGGGAGGCCATCGTCCCGGCGGCCAGTACCTTCGATGGTGCCCCACTTGGTCTTCCTCCCGAGGATCCTCTTGCCGTTGACCTGGTACTCGTGGTCGCTGCCCACCACCGCGAATGGGATCATCTCCTGGGGATGGCGGGAACTGCTCACACAAGGGAAAGGCTGCCACCCTCACCAACTGGGGCTCGTTCTCATGGCCCAAGGCTATCCCGCCAAGGACTGAGGCCACTGTCCTCTGCGTGGGGAAGGATACCCCCAGCCACACCTCCGGCAGGAACCGAGGGTCTCTCCTGGCTGGCTCACTCACCCGGAACTTATCATTCACCAGCCGGTCCTCCGAGTCCTCGTCGAACTCCTTCTGGGGGTACACGTCGATGCCGTTGGACAGCAGGTCTGCGGTGATCTGGGGGCGGGGTGGGGTGTGGGCACCGGCTTGTCGCAAACTCTGCCCAGGCTCCAGCCGGTCTACAGGGAGCCGCTACCGAGCCGGGCAGCTGGGGCGCACGCAGGCCCACGCTCATTCCTGGCTCCTTTTCCGCTTTCCCTCCAGCAGGTGCACCCTGAGAGTGGCCCACGCTTCCCTAAGCATGCTGGGAAACCCTGATGCGCGGACCTGGGATGGAGGCCCAAGCAGGACACTCAGAGCTTGTGGAATGAGACCACAAGGCCTCACATGCGGCCACGGGGCCCTCCTGGAGCCTGCTGGAGCCCAGGCCTCAGCTCCCAACAGCCCCCAGTGACTCTGATGGCCTGCTGTGAGGAAGAGGGGGCCCAGGTGCACCTCCTGCTTGGACGCCACCACCACCCGGCCAGCGGTGGCCTTGGCCCTGGGCAGAGGAGGAGGCAGCTGCCTGTCTCCAGCAGAGGCTGACCTTTTCGGGCTTTCTCTCATCCAATAAGAACCGGGCCTGCTGTGCCTGCAGCCCCACAGGCCTCACTCCCTGGAGGGCAATTCATTCCCCACCTGGTCTGTGTCTTCAAACCCCACTTGGGGACTGCTCTCTGCCATGGGACAGCTGGAGGGACCACCCGGGGACAGCCCCAGCAGTCACCAGGGCCAGCACAGTCCCCTGGACAGGGGTGGCTCTTGCCAGACCTGATGCTTGTTCCCAAGGGCATGTGGAGGCCAAGAGTCCAGGGGAGGCCCAGAACCCTACCCGCTGTTTGAAGTAGACCCTCTCCTCCAGGGTCAGCGTGTCGGCCTTGGCGATGACCGGGACAATGTTCACCACCTTGCTCAGGCGCTTCATGAACTCGATGTCCAAGGGCCTGAGACTGAGTCAGGGCAGGAGGTGAGGCTCTGCCCGCACTGGCTGGGGCCAGGGGAAGGAGCTGATGGTGGGCCTCACAGGGGTGGGGTCCACCTTGGCAAGCCAAGCCGGGGGTGCAGGGCAGGGAGGAGGCAGGGGTGTTTGACTGACAGAGGAACTGGGCAGGAGGGGTGGGGGCCGGTCCTGAGCACACTCGTCCAACTGCCCGCAGGCACCAAGGGCGCAGAGCCTGCTGGGCTGTGGGGCTCTCATGGCGAGGAGAAGAGGGGAGCTGGGCCCATCAGCTCATGCTGCTCCCGGGGCAGTGCAGCTGCAGGGAGCCTGGGCTGACGCGGGGTGGGGCGGGAGCAGAATTCCCCCTGCAGCAGAGGGGCTGGGCACCGGGGGTAGCGGGAACCCAGCACCAGCTGTGGCAGCCCGGCCGAGTGTCATGCTGGGGAGCAGCAGGGGCGCCAGCCTCTCAGGACTCGGCTCCAGTGGCAGGGGGGTGGACGGTAGGTGGCCGTCAGGGCTGGGGGAAGCCAGGGCGGCCCCAGTGGGGCGTGGACACGTACGAGTGGCCGGTGGCCGGGATGAAGTAGAGGCAGCAGTGGACGCGCGTGTCCGGGATGCGCTTCTTGCGGTTGATGTTGACCTCCTCCTGCAGGTACTTCTCGTACTGGTCGTCGATGAACTTCATGATGGGCTGCCAGCTGCACACAGGCCACCGCTCGGCTGTGCCCTGGCCGCGCTCAGGCAGCCCCGACCCCACGACCCCCCAGGGGACACTGGGCTTTCAGGCAGGGCTACTGCAGCCTCATGTGAGTGCTCCCATACCAGCCTGCAGCCTGCCCGGTGAGCTTGGAGGGCAGTGGGCAGCGCAGTCCCCAGGGTCACTGCCTGGTCCAGAAGCCCTGGGCCCCAGATGTGAGCTTTGGAGCAAGCCTGGCCCACACACGTGGGGCACGTGTCTATAGTGGCCCTGTGCCGGGATGTCAACTCAGCACACTGACGACGAAGAGAGCCCCTGTGCACACGTGCAGCTCACATAAGCACAACTCACACATGGTTTACACACAATTCACACACGCTCACTCAAACAACTCACACGCACTGTTCGCACACACAGCTCACACACAGTTCACACACGCAGCTCATACAGTCACCCAGTTCATACACAGATCACACACAAGCAGCTTACGCACAGTTCACACATGCTCACTCACTCACACATGCACTATTCACACACACAGTTCACATGCAGTTTATACACATTCACACACTCACATGACTCATACATGCACTATTCACACACAGCTCACACACACATAGTTCACACACAGACAGCTCATGCACACACAGCTCACACATGCTCACTCACTCACACATGCACTATTCACACACAGTTCACACACAATTCACACACACGCAGCTTACACACACAATTCACACACACTCACACACACACACACACACACACACAAGCACAGACGGCCAAGCTCCCCCAGGGGCCATGAGCCCTCCAGGCTCTGACTAGAGGTGTCCTGAGAGCCTGATGTCCCCGCTAGTGCTCTTCCACCGGGAGACGGGGCCCCCCAGACCCGGGCCTCCAGAGCCCTCACCAGTTCTCGTTGTTGATGTGGTCCCCGAACCCGGGTGTGTCGATCACCGTCAGCTTCATCCGGACGCCCTTCTCCTCGATATCTGCGGAGATCAGCACCCCACTCTCAGGGGCGACCCAGGGCCCCACAGATGTCAGAGGTCACACCCGCGGGGAGGCGGCCTCAGGTGCCTGGCTGACCCTGTGCTCAGTGGGCCGCAATGACAGCGACAGAGACACTGGGAGTGACCCCCGGGTGAACTCCGCAGAGCTGGGTGGTGTCCTGGTGTCCCTGCCCACGACTTTCGGAGGAAACGGTTGTTGGCAGAGCCCGCCGGGTCTAGACCACCCTGATCCCCAGGGACCTGACCAGGGTCTCAGTATGCCCAAGGGTGTCCCAGCAGGTCCCCGCTCAGAGCCCAGGCCTGCCTGACGCAGCACCTTTCCCCACACAGAGGCAGCGTCCCAAGGCCCTGGCCCGGCCCGGCCCGGCCGCTGCTGACCGTGCGTAATGGACTTGATCTCGATGGTCTTGGGGATGCGCTCCTCCGAGGTGGGCTGCACCGACTTCCGGCTGATTTTGGACTTGAAGAGGGTGTTGATTAAAGTGGATTTGCCCAAGCCACTCTGCCCTGGGGAGAGAACGGAGGCTGGCCAGTGGGCTCCCTGGGAAGGGCACTTCACAGGCGAGTAGTTCGGCGATTCCCAGGCTGACGGCGCTGAGCCAGGAAGGCCATGCCAGGGGCACTACCCTTCCACACAGGGGTCCACCAAAGAGCGTGAGCCCACACAGCTGGGCTCCGGGACTGTCCAAACTCTGCCACAGGGTCCTTTCCTGAGAGGTGTCCACGCAGGCACCCATAGGCCTCAGAGTTAGAGTCCCCTCTGCTTTCTGAAAAGGAGGACTCCTGGTGGCTCAGCCTTGGGTGGGGTGGGGGCAGGGCTCATGGGACATGCCTATAGAGGTGGCTGCCAGTTCTGGTGGCTCACTGGGGTGGACAGGAACTAAAACTCAGGGGCGGCCTCAGGGGTTCAAACAGCACCCCCTGACCAGCCATGCTTTGGGCAAGTCAGTTCACCTCACCGTGCCTCAGTTTCCTCATCTGTGAAACGGGACAAGCCGCCACCTCCCCTCCAGGGCTGGCGTGAGCACTGAGTGCACTCGCACGTGTCACATGGAGTCTGGCCACACTCGTGCTGGCCTGCACTGTCCACTCTGAGGAGTGGTGTCTACAGTGCCTGCGTGCCGTGGCGACAAGTCAACACGTCACTGATGGACGAGGATGTGGTGCGCACACACACGGCTCACTGTCCACACACAGAGCTCACTGACACATGGAGCTCACGCACATTATTCACACACATGCAACTCGCATGCACGCAACACATACAGCTCTCACACACACTCACGACCCTGACTGGAGCCCCACCCTTACCCTGCCGTAGGCTGTGCTACAAGCACACATTTCCCACGTATCACCACCATCCCTGTCACCACCAACATCACCACCACCTCCACCACAACCACCACCATCGCTGTCACCACCACCATCGCTGTTACCACCACCATCACCACCAACTCCACCACAACCACCATCGCTGTCACCACCAGCATCACCACCACCATCATTGTCACCACCACCATCACTGTCGCCACCAGCATCACCACCACCTCCACCACAACCACCACCATCCCTGTCACCACTGCCATCACCACCACCTCCACCACCATCCCTGTCACCACTACCAACTCTGAAAACACCTTCTGAGGAAAAGTAGGGGTGCCCAGGAAGACAGAGGCTGAGTTGGGAGTCCCTGGCCTGAGCTGTTCAGCAGCCCATGGACGGCCACTCCTCGTCCACCATTCCCACTGCCCACCTGGCTATGTTCCAGCCAAGCTCAGGCCAGGCAGAAGCTGGGTTGAATGTTCCAGCCACAGCACCTCAGACTGGGTAAACACCAGCCGGGATAACATAAAGTCTACTCATTATCATTTTAATTATTATAACTTTTATGATCATCCTCACCATCATCAGTACTACTACCACCATCATTGTCCACCACCACCATCATCACCACTACCATCACTATCAACATCACCACCACCATCACCATCACCACCATCACTACTACCATCACTATCAACGTCACCACCATCACCACCATCACTATCAACGTCACCACCCCCATCACCATCACCACCATCACTACTACTATCACTATCAACATCACCACCACCATCACTACTACCATCACTATCAACGTCACCACCACCACCATCACCACCACCAGCATCACTATCACCATTGCTACCAACACCACCACTACCATCATCACCACCATCATTACCACCACCACCATCACTACCATTATCACCACCGTCATCACCACCACCATCACATCACCATCATCACCACCAACATCATTAACATCATCACATCACCACCACCATCACTACCACCATTATCACCACCATTGCTAACACCATCACCACCACCATCATTACCACCATTGCTACCACATCACCATCGTTACCACCATCATCGTTACCACCATCACCACCACCATTGCTACCATCATCATCACCACTATCATCACCAACACCACAACCATCACTACCACCACCATTATCACCTCCACTAACACCATCATTGCCTCTACCACAACCATCATCATTACCACCATCACTACCATTATCACCACCACCAAAGTCACCACCACCGCCATCACTACCACCTCTACTACCACCATCACCTCCACCACAACCACCACCATCATTATCACAACCATCACTATCATCCCCTCTACCATTATCACCACCATCACCGTCATACCACCACTACCACCAACACTGTCACTAAGGCTTCTAAAGCTTCTCAAGTGCCCACATGTGTCAGGGACCACACCATACCATCCCGTTGGCCCTTTGGGGTCAGGATTATCTCATTTAACAGATAACTAGGTGGACACAGAAGCCCAGGGGAGGAAAGATAAGCACTGAATAGCTGAGGCGGGGCAAACTGGGACTCTATCCTGGTCTGTGGCCCCAACGAGGTGCCCTTCCACCACTGAAGGTGGGCACCCCCTGTAGCTGGGAGGGAGGAGGAAGCAGGGCAGGTGCTGACACCTGCCCTGGGCCAGCACCTGCCCTGGTTCCCTGGGTTCCTGTCAAGACCCCCATGATTTTGCTAGATCATCTTGTTCCTCACTCAGCGGCCTCAACGGGAGGCCTCGAATGGGAGCCAGGACCACCATTGTCTTCAGGTGCAGAAGGGAGACAAAGCCCTGCCAGGTGATGGCAGGGGCACCTGGTGACCACAGAGGAGTGAGGCTGCCTCTCCTCGCTCCTGGCTGAAACTCCCGAAGGAGGCCTGAGCTGCAGCAGGCCCCAGAGGCTCCCAGACCCTCCCTAGAGGCCCTACCCAGAAGCACTGGGCAGCCCTTTCTAAGCTCACGAAGACGAGCCTCCGTGGCCACTGCCTCAGCGCCTGTCCCACTCCCTCTCCACGCCTGCTGGAAAGTGACCTGACTCCTCAGGGCCCCGTCCAGGCAGACAGGGTGGGAGCCCATGGGAAGACCCCACGCCTCCACCCCACCTCAGCGGGCTGCCACCCAGAACACGGCAGGGCCGTGAGCGGCAGCCCAACCAGGCTGCTGACCCTGGGCCCTGCTTTGCGGGGGCCCAGTGAGGGGTGACGCAGGAGGGGACACTAAGACCAGCACAGCCAGGCCCAGGCTGGGGCCAAGGAGGGAAGTCGGGGGACAGGCCTGGTCTGTACTCGCCCAGCACAGCAGGAAGCACATGGGGTGGAGAGGGGTGGGGCACCAGGCTGAGAAAACGGCCTTGCACCTGCACCCCACACCACAAAGGGGAAGAGCCCGCCCTAGTTTTGGTTTCAGCCTGTGGGGAGCATTTCCCCAGCCCCTCCAGAGGCCACAGACGGGCAGAGCCTGAAAACGGTGGCGCGGCTCGCCCTCGTGAGCAGAGGCCAGGGGGATTGATGAACATCCTACTTATGCACAAAACAGGCCTCCTCAAGGATGACCTGGCTTCACGTTACCATGGTGCTGAGGTTGGGAAACCCTGTCTAGGGCAGTCACATAGTAGACACCAGCCTTAGTAAAAACCTCACATTTGTGGGAGCAAATGTTTGAGTACTCAGACTGAGTCAGAGCGACAGAGAACAGTGTAAGCGATTGGAGGACCGAGAGATGGTGAGAGAGATATACAGCCCCATCTTCTCCATCTAGAGGAATCTGGACGCCCACAATCCAGTCCCTCAGCTCAGCTCTTTCCCGGTGTGTGGGCATGGCTGTCTCCACATCAGCAATTCTGGTCCTGCATGGGGGGGTGGGACCAAAGGATACATTTAGCTTTCAGATGGGAAATGTACTATTTATCCAACCCCTCTGAACATCAAACACAAATTACCCATCCTGAATCATCAGTACCGTTTCATCATTTAACTAGTGAAAGTAAAACCTATTCATTATAAAAGAAGGCCTGTAATGAACTTCTCCATGACTTCGTGTGATGAGAGATCCAAGAGGCTAGTATTTTGCACTTTATGAGTGTCAAGAATGCACAGCTACTTCCCGTCTGTGATTGCCCAAGCTACCAGCTGTTCAATTAAAAGAGCTTAGAAAATGATTTCCTAGGGGCTGGCAGGTGGCATGGTGGTTAACAGTGCTGGATTCCCACATGGCCAACTGCGGTTCAAGTCCTGACAGCTTGCTTTCTCACTTTCCCTTCCTCTCTCTATCTCTGTCTAGTCAAATTTTAAAAATAGTAATAACAAATGGAAATATATAAATAATGCCTTTAAAATAAATTATTCCCTAAAGGCTTAGAAGAAGTAAAAATCTAATCAAAATAAAAATCTGATTTTACCCATCTCTCTTACCGTTTCTCCAAATTGTTCTTACTTAAATATCATCCCTTCCGCACACACGCACACATTTTTCTTTTCTTTTTTTCCACTCCATGTAATTAGGTAGTGACGATGTAAAACTTCCTTTATAGGTAAAAATATAAGGTTATTGGATTACTAGTTTGATTTTTATTGCTGTTCTAATTAGAGCTGGAGAGCACTTCTAAGTGTCTTAATTGTTTTTTTAGCCCCTTAATTAAAAATTGCCTGAAATTTAATTAACGTCTAATTAATTCCTCCATTCTCACAAGCAAAGCAGCCAAGGACAAGAAATTTAGAGTATGGCTTTTAATATATACCCTGGGCCCTGCTTTGCGGGGGCCCAGTGAGGGGTGACGCAGGAGGGGACACTAAGACCAGCACAGCCAGGCCCAGGCTGGGGCCAAGGAGGGAAGTCGGGGGACAGGCCTGGTCTGTACTCGGCCAGCACAGCAGGAAGCACATGGGGTGGAGAGGGGTGGGGCACCAGGCTGAGAAAACGGCCTTGCACCTGCACCCCACACCACAAAGGGGAAGAGCCCGCCCTAGTTTTGGTTTCAGCCTGTGGGGAGCATTTCCCCAGCCCCTCCAGAGGCCACAGACGGGCAGAGCCTGCAAACGGTGGCGCGGGTCGGCCCCGGGGGGCGAGCGGGCACGACTCACACCCTGCAAAACAGGCACGCCTTCTTGGAGTCGCCCTGAGGGCTAGGATGGACCAGAGCGGCTTTGCCCCTGCCAACCCCAGCCAGCCTGTCCAGGTTGGCCATCCATGGCCTCCCTCTGGGGACAGACAGCCTCCGACGCCACTTGCAGGGGTGCAGCCTCCAGGCACCACTTCCTGGCAGGCTGTGGAGCTAAGCTGCGGGGACACCTCCAGTCGGGCACCGGGGTGTGGGGGTGAGCCCCACTAGGGCCAGACAGCTGCGTCAGAGTGACAGCAGGGGAGCACAAGGGGTGTCCCCACAGCCCATCACGCACCTGTGCCCGCCTGACTGGGCTCTCCCGGTGCCCAGGAGCTGACACGAGCAGGGACTGCCCACGAGGCAGCGGCGAGGCCATGGCACTGGTCTGAGAGGCGGCGGGGAAGCGGGACTCACCGACCACCATGATGTTGAACTCGAAGCCCTGCTTCATGGCCTTCCTGCGCATCTGCTCCAGGATGGAGTCGATCCCCACGTAGCCGAAGTCCACGGGGGCCTTCTCGTTCCGCGGTGCGGGCGCCTGCTTGAGCCCAGCATCTCTGGGGGTGTCGGCCATATCGCCCACACAGCTGGGAGCCGCCTCAGTGGCTGGAGAGGGAGAGCAGGGCTTAGGGAGTAGCGGGCCGGGGGTGGGGGCTGCCACGCACGCATCCTGGGGCAGCTCGGCTGTCACGCTTGTTCTCGGGTGGGGAAACAGGCTCAGAGACCTTCGCGGACCTGCCTCAGATCCCCTGCTGGACGCCCAGAGCAGAAGTCTAGGAGGCCACAGCCCCTCAGCCACTCTCCTGCCAACCCTACCATGGACGCAATGTTGGGTGACCCAAAGCCACCTCTTCCTCACCCAGAGAACTCCTGTCCCACCTGAGGCCAACAGGTAGACCCCCCTACCTCCTTCACCTCCTTCATCTTCATCTGCAACAGTGGCCACGCTCTAAGCCTCAGCCCCCTGAAGTGGGCAGAGGGGCAGGCCTGTCCCGTGGCTGCTCCTGAGACAGGAAGGACAGAACTGCCTAGGCTTGTCCTACCCTGTCCGATCCCGCTGTGTCCTTTCCACCCCACGTCACCAGCCAGCAGAGCTGGGGCACATGGGAGGTGAGAAGGAAGGCGGGGGTGCCCAGGTGACCGCCATCCCTGGGGCAGAATGGGGCTGGGCAGGCAGGATGGTGCCCAGAGTCCCTGACCAGGATGACCGCTGGCCCCCATGCACCCCACCCACAGGCAAGGGCAGGTTTGCCTTCAGGTCTGTGGACGTGCAGTTGGGCTGAGCTGCTCAAGATCCCATGAGCTTCCGTCTGTCAGTCTGTGGTGTCCCTGGCTGCCCCAGGCCCACACACCCGGTCAGAGGCTGAGGACCAGGCGATCTCAGCACGGGCCATCAGGGTGGGCCCAGTATGCACATGGTCCTGCATCCCAGGAGGTTCCAGACATGCCACATCCACTGTGAGAAGGCCCCAAACACACAGGCACCCGGGCCGCAGACCTGTCCTGACCCCACAGTGGGGCCAGGTTATTCCCAGCCCTCCACCGTATGAAGGACTTCTATGTCCTTCCCCAGGGAGGCTTCGGGCTGTGAGGCCTCTTCCTGGAGCACCTAAGTGCTCCGAGGGCCCTCTCCTCCTGCAGGCCCTCCACAACCCTTGGGGAGGAGCGGATAACACATCTTCCTCCCACAGGGCACCCCAGGGGGGTCCACGAGGAGCTCCCCTACCCCCAGCAGAGCCAGGTGCATCAGCAGGGATGTGGGCATGGGCTGGGGGTGGGAGGCAAATTCCCGCGAACCCCCAGGTGGTGAGCAGCCTTCCCGACCTGAGCCGACAACCTCCACCCCAGCCTTGCCCCAGAAGAGCAGGGCCACTCTTCGGCGAAGCCCCTCTTCCAGCTCCTGGGGAAACACCAGTTTCCCCACCGGCCAGGCCTGTGTCCCCTGAGTCCCTGGCCCGCAGCTCGGGCTCTTCCGTGTTCTGGAGCCGGCACCGCTCCTGTCTCACCCCAGGCCTGGGGACCCGGAGGTGGGAGTGGGTAGCAGCCAGGCCCGGAAATGGTGTGGGCGGTACGTGCTCAGAGGAGCCCAGGCCCTGGTTGTTATGTGACTCCCACCTTCTCAGCCTACCTCGCCGGACTAGGGGCAACGAGACATGCAACGTCTGACAGCGCCAGGGGCTGCCAAGGGGTCCAGAGCTTCACTCCCCACACCGCCAAGCACAAAAGACAGACGCAGGCCAGGCTCCTCCGCCCGCTGCAGGCATCTGCCCGCCCCTTCAGCGTGCTCCCCCTCCTTCTCCTCCCCCTGCCCCATCTTTAAATAAACAAAGACTCCTCTGCATCTGGCCACAGAACATGTGGCTCCAGGCCGCTTCCTGGAGACAGACATGCGGCCTCGCCTGTGGGGCAGCAGTTCGGCCCGACCCACGTGACCCCAAATTGCTTCCATCCGTCTGTGGGTCTAGGAGCCATTTTTCCCAGGACTGGGACCGGCCCCCATCTTGCTCCACACCCCACAGCACCAGGGGGAGGTCCTGCCCCCAGAACTCTCCCTCACAGTCCTCTAGGGCCCTGGCAGCTCTGAGGGAGGGAGGGTCTTACCCCAGCTGCCCCCCCCAAACACACCATCGGTCACTGCAGAAACTCAGCCAAGCCAAATACCCTGCCCTGCAGCCCGGCTTGAGGGCTACGACGGACACAGAGCAGCCTTTCTCCGCCAGGCAGGATGGCTGTGGCCTTCGGCACAGGTGGGTCCCCCCCCTACACCCCTTCCCTGGGAGGCACCGTTGCAGGCAACTGGACTGTCGACAGGTAACTGCAGAGAGCAGCCGTAACTGCAAAGAGCACCCAGCTGGGTGGAAGACACGCTGGTCCTGCAGGACCCCAACCTACAGACACCCTCATGGACTGAAGTCCTGCTATCTACGGAAAGCCACCAGGGCCTGGTCCCAGACCCCAGGGTGTTCTAGCTCTGAGGACAGTAGACACCTACTTCATCTGATGGACATGCCGTGCCAGCCACTGCAGCGGCCACTGGCCCACGTGACTTCTTCCTTTTGTAATGACCAGAGAGTGGGTGTGCTCGCCAGGGAGTGACAAAGCAGACAGAGAGACAGGAAGAGGGAGAAAGGATCCCCCCACGGGGCGTGCTCACACTGCGACCCCTTCTCTAATGTTCTATCCTGTCAGGATTAGGGGCACACACACACACACACAGTATGTTTTTCAAGTCACTGGGGCTGGGACTCAAACCCTGTGGTTGGGCATGTGGGATGCGGCTCCCTTAACCACCAGGCTATAGGGCTGGCCCGTGACTTTTTCTTTAGCTGTGATGAAACTCGCGAGCTTCAGCATTTTGAGCAGCCAGGCCGGCAGTCTCAAGCGTCCACCTTGCCGTGCGGTCAGTCTCCCAACCCTTTCCTCTAGAAACCGGAAGTCCGTCCCCAGTGCCCCTCCCGCCCCTGGACACCCTGCTCTGCTCAGCAGGATCCTACAGCGTGCGTCCCTTGCCACTGGCTTATTTCACTGAGCGTAATGGCCTTCAGGCTCATCTGGGCCGTGGCCTGGACCAGAACGTCCTTCCTCTCGAGGCTGGTCCGACTCCCTGTCCATGCCTCCCTGTTTCCACCTGTCCATCCACGAGCAGGTTCTCCCGGG